ATGCCATGATGAGCAATTACCATTAAGCCCAAAACGACAAAGAGAATTTATTACTCCATCTCCCATATCCAGGCTGATGGACATGAAGGAATGCAGCCTGGAGCTGAAAGAAATGATTATTTCACCAAGGAGACATAGATGTTTGATTTATCAGCACATAATATTCGCTATTGTTCTTTTTACACTTGTAGAGCTATCGAGGATTAGATCAGAGCAGCTATGGGTATGCCTGGACTTATGTGATGTTAATACTTATCACTAGTCTGAGACTATATTCCTCTATTCTTGATAAACTTGTGTGAGGTGAGGAGTGGGTCACAGTGTCCAAGCAAGTTTCAGTCTTGTGTACGGTTCTTATCACATCATCCAAGTGATGTGATTATCTATCCAGATGGCTCTGCGTTGAGGGGCAAACGAAGTGCATGAGGCTTCATCGCAAAAGCGAATGGACGTCGTTTAGTGCATCAAAGCATGGCATTCGATATCACAGCGTCTAGTTTGAGAATGAAGGTGGAGGCAATCACTGCTGCATTCCTCTGGCTTAAGAATCACCTGTACACACAAGTTATGATTGTAACTGACTCACGGAGCATGTTGAGAAACGTGGAGACAGGTATGCTTCGTGCAAAGGGGGAAAACCTCACTTAAGAGGTCCCAGGTAGTTAACATCCTATGGATATTCTTTCCAGGTAATGCCGGTGTGTTGGGAAATGATCAGGCCGATAGACTGGCCGGTTTTGGCCCACTTAGTGGGAAACTGATGTATGACAAGCTAGATATTGTGGGAGCCCTATGGCAGCGAGTGAACAGTGCGAAAGCGCAAATAAATCATTACAGTCTGAGGAGAATTGCGCTGCAGGAAGTTACCAGGGGATCTGGCCGACGCTCAACACTCAAGGGAAGGGAGAGATTGATTACAATCAGACAGTTAGTGGTGTAATAGGAATTGGAACTCTTCGTTTGCTGCTGAAGATGGGGACGGGGCGCTTATGGGAGTGTCCTGAGTTTTATGATGTCCATAACTTATTCAACATTCAACATTCCCCTTGTGGTGATAACATGCAATTTATCCCCCTCAAATTACCAATTCATAGCCTACTACTCGCCTATTCAAAACACATATTATGTCGTTGACGCCTAACACAACGAAAACTCGCGTAAAGTGAAAAGTAAATAACACTTTTCCACGTCTTTAGGCGAACTGGGCATATCGGGCTAGAATGAAATTTTATGGAGCAATCGGCACTTAGTTGGTCACGTGGTCAGCTTCACGCCCGCCGCCATTACTTCCTATGACTGCACAGGGTACCCACTCAAGCTTGGTCGACCAGGTTGCCACGGTCAATTTAAAAAAAAAAAAAAAGTCAAGCTCCGTCAGTAGAGAAGCCACGACCTACCGATCCGCAGGCGAGCGTGATAACTCACGTAGTTTGAACAAATCAGTCAGGTGCTATTTTGATAATGACGAAGCAAGACATTACTATAGTCATGCAGCAATATTGTAAACTGTCAGTATTGCTGTTAGACATTACTATAGTCATGCAGCAATATTGTAAACTGTCAGTATTGCTGTTAAGGATGGTCTGAGTGTTAAGTGTGTGACATCACGGTGCAGTGAGCATGGTGACGTCAAAATGACAGTTTAAAGATGGCGGTCTCACTTTTGACATGCACACCGAAGAGCAGCTTTTTGTTATCCGTTTCTTTTGTTTAAATCATGGAAGGTGGGAAAACATTTAGAAATTCATCGGCGAAGGAAGATCCATTATGGGGATGCATGCCTGCCAGTCCAGCAAGTGATTGAGGAAAGTGAACAATTTCGAAACGGAGTGACTTAAGTGAGAGACTGTTCACGATCAGGCCATGCCCAATGAATAGGGACCTTCAAGTCGATTGCAGCGGCTAAAGGCCTTTACAGGAGTGGTGCCGACTGAGTGTGAGTAGCAGTGACAATGTTCATAAGGGACCTTCATTCGCCGAAG